CTTCTTCTAATCCTTTCATCCTTCTTCTAATCCTTTTATCCTTCTTCTAATCCTTTTATCCTTCTTCTAATCCTTTCATCCTTCTTCTAATCCGTTCATCCTTCTTCTAATCCTTTCATCCTTCTTCTTATCCTTTCATCCTTTTTCTAATCCTTTCATCCTTCTTCTAATCCTTTCATCCTTCTTCTAATCCTTTCATTCATCTTCTAATTATTTCATTCATCTTCCATTCCTTTCATTCGTCTTCCAATCCTTTCATTCATCTTCTAATCAGTTCTTTTTTTTAATCCTTTCATTCATATTCCAATCCTTTCATTCATCTTCTAATCCTTTCATTCATCTTCCAATCCTTTCATTTATCTTCTAATCCTTTCATTCATCTTTCAATCCTTTCATTCATCATCTAATCTTTTCATTGATCTTCCAACCATTTCTTTTTTATCTTCTAGTACTTTCATTTATCTTCTAATGAAAAATTGAATAAATGACATGTAAAATTGAATAAATAACATGAAAATTGAATCAATAATATGAAAAATTCAATAAATAAAATGAAAAATTCAATAAATAATATGTAAAATTGAATAAATGAATGAAAAATTGATAAATTAATAAGAAAAATTTATCAATTAACATGAGAAATTGAGTAGATAACATGAAATATTAAATGAATATCATGTGAATTTGAATAAATAACATGAAAAATGAGTAAATATTATGAAAAATCGAATAGATAACATGTGAAATTGAATAAATAACATGAAAAATTAAATAAATAACATGAAAAATGAATAAATAATGTGAAAAATTTAATAAATAACATGAAAAATGAATAGAAAATGTGAAAAAATAATATATTAATGTTTTTAAGGAGGATGGACACGTGGTCAATACAGTCTTTAACTTTCAGAGTTCTCGAGAAGGTATAGAAGTATTAAAATATATTAAAATATTAAAATATTGAATATTTAAGTATAAAAGTACATAAGTATAAAATTATAAAAGTATTAAAGTGTAAATTGTAAAAGTATAAAAGTGTAAAAGTATAGAAATTTAAAGATATAAATATGTGAAACACGTAAACATGAAAACATAAAAATACGATAAAATGAAAGTAAGTTTTAATTGTTATCAAGCTTTTTTCGAATTACAAGTTTACAAGTAATTAAAGAGACGCTTTTTTATTAACAGCTTCTCTGTGTTCCTAATTAAGATTGAAATTGAAAGTCGTCTTCATTATATTGATATATTGCCTATCACCGTATGAAAAAATGTGAAAATATTGAATTAAGAAACTATGAAATTTTTTTCTTTCGCAAAATTTAAAAAATGTTACTGTTAAAGTTAAATAACTCTACAGATATATTTATTGACCTAGTTTTTTTTCAGGACACTCAAGTCTTGCGGATATAATGTTTGGTTTGAGGCAGAGGGATACAGGGCTAACCAAATATCCAGTCAGGTAAATAGTTAGTTGTTCAGGGATACAGGGCTAACCAAATATCCAGTAAGGTAAATAGTTAGTTGTTCAGGGATACAGGGCTAACCAAATATCCAGTAAGGTAAATAGTTAGTTGTTCAGGGATACAGGGCTAACCAAATATCCAGTAAGGTAAATAGTTAGTTGTTCAAGGATACAGGGCTAACCAAATATCCATTAAGGTAAATAGTTAGTTGTTTAGGGATACAGGGCTAACCAAATATCCAGTAAGGTAAATAGTTAGTTGTTCAGAGATACAGTGCTAACCAAATATCCAGTGGGGTAAATAGTTAGTTGTTTAGGGATACAGGGCTAACCAAATATCCATTAAGGTAAATAGTTAGTTGTTTAGGGATACATGGCTAACCAAATATCCAGTAAGGTAAATAGTTGGTTGTTTAGGGATATAGGGCTAACCAAATATATAAACTATTTTCCCTTTTCGCTGGAAACCCTAATTGCATGCCTAGGGTTTAAATCTAACATTGATACCCTAGTTTCAGGGTTGCAATGATGTAAATATCATGGATTCCATATTGTCATAATTTTGTTAAAAATTTGAAAAATTATAAAAAATAATTCATATATTTAATAGTATACAGTTCCCTGGCCTCTGTTATAGAATTTTATGTAAAAACTATAATTTAGAAAATGATAATATTTAGAAACCGACAACGGATTATAACTTACAGTGTGACCCTAGTACTTCGTCAACATAAACCACAGTTTATTAATCAACTTCGTCAACATCTCTCACAGGTACATTGTCATTAATGAAAACTAGCAGAAAACATGATTGCCGTATTCTCTCTTAACTATTTATATTTTATATTGGTTTATTAAAGAAAATATGCCATTAATATTTTCAGAAATATATCAATTTTTAAAAAATTTAAGTAAAGAACTTTTATCCCAGATTATTTGANAAAAAAAAACAATTAAGGTTGGATGCCGCTGCCACACCAATATTATGCTACTACTCATTGGCTTAACCTCAAATCTTTTCTTAAAAGTTCTCACCTTTTATATTTTAGCTGTACCCTCTGCACCCAGGGAATAGTTCCGGTCGACTTGTGCACATTCATTTTCCGGAACAAATAAACGGAACTGAATATATACCCTACACTGCTCTTCTTATAGGAATACTTTAACACTTCAAATCTTTTATCTTTGGAAGTCTAACAACATTTTCCCAACCCCTCTGTCTTGATCTCCCCCCCCCATAAACATCCCCCCCCTTATGTTAAAAAGACGATGTAACAGGTTTTGAGTATTTCCTTTCCCCCCTTTTTATTTCCATGTTTCTCTCTTACCTCCATCCCCCCCCCTTCCCCCCATCTATTGTTAATAACATAAACGTTGTTAATGAAGTATAAACCAGGATTATTCTTCTACACCTTCTACTCTTGCAGGAAGATTGATCTCATACAGTCTAAGGAAATCATTTAATTCATCTATTTCATAATTTTAATTTATTAAATAATTCATTCATGTCAATTTAATTTTGTATATCATAATTTGATTTAATATAATTAATTGTATCCACGAGAAAGCATTTTTATTTTTTCACTTGTAACAGACAGTGCTTAGGATCCGGATCTGTTGGATCCGCAATATTTTGGCTTCCTGAATCCGGATCCCATGGAAAAAATATCAGTGAAAAACTGAAGAAAAAAACACCTTTTTGCTCTTAAAACCCGAATCTGAAAAGAGAGATTATCAAAAAAATATTTAATGCTGAATTGTTTATCGAAAATAAGCAAAAAAAAGAAGAAAATTAATTTGAAAATTCTTCTGATGTTAAAAAAACCCAGTAAATCTTGAAAGAAATGTTCACAACCTGGATCCAGTTCCAGCTTTTACAGCACGGATCCAGGATCCGGAGCCGCATCATAATTGAATTGATCCTCAGCACTGGTAACATATTAAATATTGCATATTTTGGAACAGTATAGCAAATTGCAATAACCGCATCTACGTTAGAAAAATGTATAAGGTCTTGTGTTTAAATGGTTTGCTTCAGGTTGGAATAGCTCTAACAGCAGTTATAACTATTCTTGGTTCTCTTTTTATGTCTTTAGGGCTCACGGGGCAGAGTTTAGGAGGAACAGGTTAAATAATATTTTATAGAATTTGTACACACTGATACTTATAAACACAAATTTTCATTATTTTTTCTTGAATATTACATAATTTCCTTAAATATTACATAATTTCCTTAAATATTACATAATTTCCTGAAATATTACATAATATCCTTATATATTACATAATTTCCTTCTACGTAACACTGGACATAAGTACGTAGCAATTGATTTTGATTGGTACCTACCCAAATACGTCGTTAAATGACGCTATTCTAGGATACGTATACCTGGTTCCTTACGCAAATGCGTTTATTGGACTTGAAAATATTCTGGTAATTACTCGTAGTATTGTATCAACACCAGAACATCTCGATGTCAAGGTATTAATATTATTAATATTATTATTATTATTATTATTATTATTATTATTATTATTATTATTATTATTATTATTTATGGCCCCTGACTACACTTCTATTCTAGGAATTTTGTATATTTGCTGTAATGGGTCTTCTCTGTGATTTCTATCTTCAACACTTCTTTTTTGTTACAGTTTTCTCCATGGACATCAGCAGGTACTTTGGCATATAGTTAGGCAATTGGTGAGTTGAATTGCTCGATATTTGATGGATTGGATGGACGGTTGATCAGATGGTTAGTTTGATTGGTTAGTTGAAAATTAGTTATTTTTCTGGTAGGTACTAAGTTGGTTATTGGTTATGTTATTGTCTAATGGTTGGTTGGATGGAGGGTGGAGTTTTAGGTTGGTGTTCTGGTTTTTGGTATTGTAGATGATTGATTGATTAATGGATTGAATTAATGATTAATTGATTGATTGATTGATTAGTTGGAAGATTGGTCTGTACCTTAAATAAAATTGTTTGATGTTGTTTGGATCATAGTTACCCCCTGCTCTTAAATTTTAGATTTGGCTTAACTACAGTAATTCGTTCTTGATGTTCTTAATTTTACAAATTTTTTTCACCTAAAGTTTTATTTTCAACATTTTCATCAAAAAACCCTCTAAAACCTTTAAAATATGAAGACATTTTTCAGTATTTGTACCTCCTTAGATAGTTTTTCGTACATTATATTCAAAGTTATGATTTCAATCCTCATACCTCCTACTAACATTTTAGAATATCATGTTCAGGAGATAGTTAAGAAGTTTCGTTCATTAATGGAAAAAAATGTAATGAATCATATTAAGAGTTTTATGAGTAATTGCCTCCTAGGCACTCACAACAAACAGTCAAAAAAAGAGAGAAGCTAGAAAGCTGTGTCTACGGGCCTTGGCCACAGATGAGAAAGCTTTAATTTTAGGGTGACGGGGGGGGGGGGGTAATCGTCAGAATCAATACCCCCTGTTTTGCTCTTATAATCATTATAAAGATTTGAGGATTGATTTATTGATTGATTGATTGATTGATTGTTCAGAACTGGTTTGGTGGATGTTCTCCGAATGCCGCGTAACTTGTCTCGTAAACCTCGGCCCTCCTCTCAGACGTCCTCCCAGTCCCTCAGTCAACAGCAGCAACAGGCCAACATCTTTCAGCAGCCTATTTCAGGTAGGTCAACAGCAGTAACAGGCCAACATCTTTCTGCAGCAAATTTCAGGTAGGTCAACAGCATCCTCAGGTAAGTCAAAATTAGCAGCAGACAACTTCTCGGAGACTATTTTAAAAGTCTTAAAGGGGATTGTAATCATAATTCCGTGACGCTACATACAAAGAGAAGAAAGAAATGCCCGAAATACTACAATACCCTTTAAACAAGGATTATGGAATATAAGGGAGAAGGAATAGACCATATGATCATGACCATATGATTATACATGCTTTGCAGAAGGTTTTACATCTGAAAAAGATTTTTTTAAAGGACTTTTATAAATGTGTTTTTTTACTGTGCCATATTAAATAAAACCGATTATATATTATAAAAAATACGATTGTATTGCCAATATTTTTGCATTTTAAAAAATGTATTTGTTTGGCGTTACTCTGAATACATATACGGTATTTGTACATCAGACAAATATTTCTTATTCAAATGAAGGGTGGATTCTCATTTGAACTACTGCCGTTTGAACTATGGTACGTTTGAACTATTGTTCGTTTGAACTATTGTTCGTTTGAACTATTGTTCGTTTGAACTATTGTTCATTTGAACTACTGACATGACGTCATATCCTGTAGTTTAAATCAACGCATTTCTTGCTCATTTGAACTATTTTTCTACCCCAATTCAGTTTTGAACTATTTTTTGTTTATTTCATTAATAATATTTTAATAGTTCAAATGAACTAAAAAATAGTTCAAATGAGCAATATATTTACTCGTTTGAACTATTGTTCATTTAAACTACTCACGTGGTCCCACGTGCAGTAGTTGAAATGAACAATAGTTCAAAAGAACAATAGTTCAAACGGCAGTAGTCCAAATGAGATAGCATCAAATGAAGTACCTTCTGCAAAGCCTGTATTATCATATGGTAGGGAGGGCCGGGTCGATTCCTTCTCTCTCATATTCCACACTTCTTGCCTTCAATACTTTGTCTGTACAGAGATCTATGTATGATAATCTCAGATCTATTGAAAACCTCTTGAATTCCTGTAACCCCAGTACGTAGCGTACAGTGTAAACTCAACACAGCTGATACGTTACTTGTAAGTAAGTAAGTAAAATATATTTGAGTAAAGTTTTTTTTTAAACTAAATGAACTGCAAAAATTCTTTGATAACTAATACAGCATATGGAAGAAGACATTCAAAACTATTTACCAACTGTCATGTTTCGTGGGACACCCTGTAAGTCCCCAGTTTTTTTTTCAATCGATTTGAATCCGAATTTAATGGATTTGAGCCGCGACTCCAATCCGCCCAAAACCAGTTTCAATTGAGTGCCGGCTTAAATATTAAAACATTGAATACAATTTTAATTGGAACCAACCGTATTTGAGCCGCGTTTCAAATTTAAGCCGTGGCTGAAATTCTTTAGATTAAAGCCTTTGTACTCTGTACTCTACGCACTTTACGTTCTCTTTACGATGTACTGTACAGTGTACACTGTACATTGCACTGTATATTGTAAATGTAAGTTACACTTTACAATGTATGTTACCCTGTTACACTGTACAGGTCCAGGTGGACGGTATGAAGTTGATGGTACCTCTAGTTGTCCTAGCCTAGTTGCACCATCACTGACGGCACCACCGCGGAAAGTTCCTAAACGGGTTCAGGTATAATATCATTTATCAAGTATGTATAATTATATATTTTCTAAAAGTCAAAACACCCTGGTTTATTATTCATTCATGCATGCTTATTTAGGGGAAATATCGAGAGAGAAAAAACTTTTAAAAGCGTAGAATATTAATATCTAAAACTAAAGAACGAAAAGTTCCGACTTAAATGTTAAGTTTCAGCTTAAATGCCAATTCTGGCTTTATTTAAGCCTGAATTTTAATCCTGGGTTTAAATATTTAACTCGCCAAAATCGACGAGTCAAAATTTAAACCCAAAATCTCGAAATCAATCAATCATCATTCAGCTGAGAAAGTCATATTTAAAAGTGAACACTTTGATTGAATAAATTTTATGTTTTAGATTAATTAATGTTTGCATGTAGATCCAAAAAACGGTTGTAACTGGAAATATGTTTTGTTTTCGGATATGTAAATAATTTAAAATTTAAAAACAGCTGATGAGCTATGGTTACGTATCTCTCTGTAAATTCTTTTCTCTGATTGGTTCAGATTTTTCCCGGGAAATTCAAATTTCCCTTCAGAACTGTTAAGCTACAACTTAAATTTTGCACATTTTTTAGTTTTAGACTCTGTTTTCATTTGTTCGGTTGTTTTGACAGAGAACTGTAAACTTTTGTATTTATGGTATAAAGTCTGTTTGCTCACCAGAAACTTTAATCGTCTAATCTTTTATCTTTGCAACCTTTTGACATTTTAAACCTTGACTATTGAACTATCTGAATTCATCGTTTGAAATATCAAAGGTCTACACCATCAAGTTGCAAATATATAAGGATTATAAAATTACAGTGTTAAAATTGTATAGGTAGTAAATTTCTGGGCCCAGCGGCGTGTAGTGTCCCGTATATTCCTAATCACCATGGTAGTTTGGATTCTTATATTCGTTTACAAGGCGGGGATAGTAGATTTTATCATTAAAGGTAACCTATTTATTATTTTTTTTTTTGGATCATCAGCATTCCAAATTTGTTATCTTCCCTTTCAGCACGGAAAACGCTTAAATATCTGACATTTTTTATTAATTTTAAACTGGAAACCATCGTGTTATAATTAAATCTCCTACTTCTTGCATTTAATATAATGTTATCATGTATTGCTTTTAACCATTAGAATTGTATTCAAGCCAAGTTTTCTATAATACTGAACATTTTTGATAATATCCTAGGCTAGAAAGAGCGCGAGAAATGAGGACAGGAGCTGAGAATATATCCAGTATACTTTCTGCACTGGAAGCTAAGGTAAAACATGCTTGAGTTAAACTAATCTTCTATCCTAATAAGACCTGGAATATTAATCCCGCTTTCCGTTTTTTCGTTTTCAATTTAAAGGAGTTGAGTTTTTGCCACAAACTCTGATTTTCTAATCTTTATATCATTGTAACCCAATGTCGTAGACCTTTGATATTTCAAACTAATAATACTTATAAATATAATAGTCAAAGCTTGAAATATCAAAGGTTTGCACCATCAGGTTGCAAAGATATTGGGACCAGAAGATTTGAGTTTGTTGCAAAAACTCAATTCCTTTCAATAAAACATTGAAAGAAAGCTGTTTTTACTAGTTCACACACAATACTTTTACCTTTTAAGTTCTTGTTTGGCATGTCAATTTTAGTGGTTTAATTTTATAGGATTTGACGTTTAATTTCAATTTATTAAATAAATTAACAAACATTTTGTAAATCTTAAGATACAAAAGAGGACTAACAACATTATGTAAAGCTCTAAAAATCAACAATGAGAGCTTCACTGATTCTTAAGCATTTTTTCCCAAATCATCAAAAATCATTCTGAAAATAAACAACCCTCTTTTTTATCTATTTTTTATTTGTTGGCAAAAATTTTTATTTAGTTTTTTTATTGGTCTAATTTTTATATTTAGTGTTTTTGTGGGCCTAATTTTTTATTTAGTTTTTTCTGTTGGTCTAATTTTTTATTGTTTAGGAATCTCATGACTCATCTTCTAGCACGGGTAGACGGGGAGAGTCTTTATCTAGACTTGTACATAAAACTACAGAATACTGGAGGTACAGAGTTTACTATTCATCACGCAGTACATGTCTTTACATACATGTTTCTCTCATGTACATAGATATGTCATGTACATAGATATTTGTCATCTACATAGATATTTGTCATGTACGTAGATATTTGTCATGTACATAGATATTTGTCATGTACATAGATATTTGTCATGTACATAGATATTTGTCATGTACATAGATATTGTCATGTACATAGATATTTGTCATGTACATAGATATTTGTCATGTACATAGATATTGTCATGTACAAAGATATTTGTCATGTACATAGATATTTGTCATGTACATAGATATTTGTAATACCCAATGGACAGCCTAAGAGGTATAAAATATNAATATATATCATGTTACATAAATATATATCATGTTATATAAATATATATAATGTTACATAAATATATATCATGTTATATAAATATATATAATGTTACATAAATATATATCATGTTATATAAATATATATAATGTTACATAAATATATATCATGTTATATAAATATATATAATGTTACATAAATATATATCATGTTATATAAATATATATAATGTTACATAAATATATATCATGTTATATAAATATATATAATGTTACATAAATATATATCATGTTATATAAATATATATAATGTTACATAAATATATATCATGTTATATAAATATATATAATGTTACATAAATATATATCATGTTATATAAATATATATAATGTTACATAAATATATATCATGTTATATAAATATATATAATGTTACATAAATATATATCATGTTATATAAATATATATAATGTTACATAAATATATATCATGTTTTTCCAATCAATTTTTGAAAGATGTTTGGTATAGTTTTCGTTCTCATCATATTCTATTATTCAGTATAAAATCTATTCGATTTTCTCTGATTATTCTCAACATTTTAGTTTTACTTTCTATATAAAAAAAATCTCAATTTTTGTTTAGTTAATTTTATTCGACCCTAACTTTTATATATAAATCTTTGGATGCATTGTGCAACTTAAATTCAGTCCATGCCCTGAAGTCTTTTTTGTTAAAATTTTCATTGATCTGTTCTTTTAACCTTCTAAAAATTTTATATTTATCATTTATTTCTATTATCTATCAAAGCTTTTGAACTCCCTTTTATATTTTCTCCTTCATATTTTGGTATGTTTTTTTAAATTTTTTTCAATCCTTTAACTATCAGATAATTTACATTTTCCTGGTGTTACAACTTATTTTCTTTTTTTTATTAAGTAATTGAAACTTTGTCACCAAATCAAATTTTTTCATCCCTATATCTTTAAACCCCGATGGTGTAAACCTTTAATATTTCTAACTTAGATTATTTAATTTAACAGAATGTATAGTTTAAAATATCTAAGGTCTACGACATTGGGTTGCAAAGATATATGGATTTCAAAACAAGTGTTTGTGACAGACTCAGTAACTATTCTTTTTTCCAAAATTTAAGGTTCTAGAAGTGTAAATTTCCTCTAGTTAATTTATAGTTTTTTTTTCGACATTCAGATTTTTTAACTTTTGATAATTGATCTGTATCTGTGTATTGTATGGCTTTTTGCCTCCAATAAAACCTAGATTAGATGAAAATTGATCTGTATCTGTGTATAGCTTGTTGCCTCCAATAACCCTCTCCATGGTGGTCTCTCCCGAAGCAGTTATTCAACTCAGGTTTGCAATATGGCGCTAGGGACAAATTAGAGATCCCCAAAAAAACAGCATAAATACATTTGCTTTTTTACACAATGCCAAATTTTGACCCTAAAAGAGAGAAAACATGCAAAAAACGAAGCAAAAACGGTTGTTTTAAAACGATCATGTTCCTTATTCTTCTACGGTAAAAATATTGCAAACCTTAACAGTATACAGTTTTGAAATGTTTGAAGTTGAAATGTTTGAAGTTAACAGTATTTGTCTGGTGCCTTTTTAAAGTCCAAAAGCCACAACAACTAACCACTTCTACCATCATAGCGCATTAGGAATAGATTAAACATTCAAAATTTTCTGTATCAGAGTATATTTATCAAAGGCGCCATTTTCTAGCATTATTTGAAACTACTTATTAAGGAGTCCTAATGAGCTTAAAGCTGCTCCCCAGCAACCTGTCTGGACTCTAGAGAATATCAAATCCTCCTTGGATCTAGGAGATGAGGAAGATTTAGGTTTGATTGATTGATTGATGAAATGCTGAATTGATTGATTGATTGACTGATAGATAGATTGATTGACTGATTGGTTGATGAATTGATTGATTGGCTGATTGATTAATTTGACTAATTAATTGATTGGCTGATTAATTGCTTGATGGATTAGCTGATTAGTTGAATGATGAAAAAGTTTATATATTTTTATAATCAATAATCCATAAAGAGCATAGTTGGTTGTCGACTTTTCTTTTACTTATAATTAGTCAACTTGTAATTTGTAACTGCTGATTTTTGCCCAGAATCTTTTACAGAGATTAGTTACAAATAGAAATTATTCAGCGGCATTTTAGTTCATTTGTAGGAGCAAAGACGACAACAGTTTTTTAGTTTACTAACTTGGAAATCCAGTCTTGCTTGAATTTCTTGATTACTAGGAGTAGTCAGGCAAAGAGATCAAAGAAACACAAACTTTCTTTATAAAGTCAACCCACTCAAATTTTAATTTAAAAACCCATGCTGAAAACATTTACATGATTCCAACGAGTTTTCCAACCAAAATTTGAGGCAAATAGGTCAATGGGACATACAGGTTTACCCACAAATAGTTCGATTTGAAGCTTGATTTTTGATTTCTGCATTCAATGAAGTGCATTGATGGTTTTCGAAATGATTAAGCACAGAAATAAGCCAGTTTTAGCCTACAAGGAACCCTGAATGTAAGAAAACGGACTAAACAAATTTCGTACAATCGTCTATGAAGTCTCATCCTTTGTTGGTAACACTGTAGAAAGAGAAAAGTTTATAGATAACAACTATATAGATTCTAGATACCTGTTTATAAACATCTTCTATATTTTTTAGTTTATCTATTTATTTTTAAGATGATCTTTCTGATGATGGTCCTGAGCTGTCTCCGTTTGTTCCAACATCTCCCGGAGAATTAATGCTTGCTTTTGCTCTTTCCATTCCTTCCATTCTCTTCCTTGTTTACCTTTGTGTAGTCTGCTATAGGTAACTTTGCTCTTTCATTCCTTCCATTCTCTTCCTTGTATTTCTCTGTGTAGTCTGCTATAGGTAACTCTGCTCTTTCATTCCTTCCATTCTCTTCCTTGTTTAACTCTGTGTAGTCTGCTATTGGTATTTTTGCTTTTTCCATTCTTTCCATTCTCTTATTTGTATACCTCTATGTAGTCTGCTATAGGTAACTTTGGTCTGTACATTCCTTCCATTCTCTTCCTTGTATAACCTTCTGTAGTCTGCTAAAGGTAATTTTGCTCTGTCCATTCCTTCCATTCTTTTCCTTGTATACCTTTGTGTAGTCTGCTATAGGTAACTTTACTCTTTCCATTCCTTCCATTCTCTTCCTTTTTTACCTCTGTGTAGTCCGCTATAGGTAACTTTGCTCTTTCCATTCCTTCCATCCTCTTCCTTGTTTACCTTTGTGTAGTCTGCTATATGCAATTTTGCTATGTCCATTCCTTCCATTCTCTTCCTTGTATACCTTTGTGAAGTCCGCTATAGGTAACTTTGCTCTTTCAATTCCTTCCATTCTCTTCCTTGTTTACCTTTGTGTAGTCTGCTATAGTCACCTTCTAACCCTTTGATTTTGATTTTTAAGAATGATTCAAAAAAAATTGCGACGCCCCTTTTTCACTCAAAATGAATATTTTTTATTAAAATCCAAATCTTGTTACACATTTTCCACATACAATTGACCAAATTCGCAATAATTTAATCTTTTCCTCCCCCTGAAAAATATCATAAGCCGCGTCTTCATGGACCAGATTTAATGAAAGCGAAAAATAGTTGAATCACTTCTCTTTACCTTAAACCGGCGTTCAAGAGAAGTGGTTCAACTTCCTCTCGCTATTCATAAAATCCGGTTCTAGGTTTATGTGCACAAAGAACTATGCTGAATGGAGAACTGGCAGACTAGATGCGTCAGAAGATCGTTATACACAAATAGTTCAGGTTTTTTACATTTTGTGATTTGAGACTAGGGTTTCCAACGCAAGTGGATTTTACTTGCGCGCAATTGCGAGCACTGTAAACTCCGCGCAATTCCGCACAAATGCGCGCAATTTTAGAACAGTTGCACGCAACGGAATTCCGATTGGAAACCCTATTTGAAACCCAGGAACAAGAAATCATTAAATTAATATTTATCGGATATATTGTTATTTGAATCTAGGGCAAGGATCAAACACTTCTCCATTAAATTCAAAACTTGCCAGGGTTGGCTATCAAATAAAGAGTTCTAGATTTACAATAGTTCACTCAAAAGTTTTGATCTCTGTTGATTTTCCATAATAGTTTTACAGTCGAGTCCTGAGATCCTTTTCCCTTCCAAATTTGATAAATTGTTGAATTTTGATTAATTTTTTTATTTTACTTTTTCCCATTATAATCCCTGAATATGTAAAGTAAATAAAACAAAGAAATCGTTACACAAATAATTTGAGTCTTTGCTACAAACTAAGATTTGCTAATCCCTATATCTTTGCAGCCCAATGGCGTAACCCTTAGGTATTTCAAACTATGAATTAGTGTAGATCAAAGAATTTTAGTTTTAAATAGTCAAGGTGTACACTATCAGGTTGCAAAGATAAAGCGATAGGAAAATTTGTGTTTGGGGCAAAGACTCAATTTCTTTTTCTTGCCAAAAGTCTGTCCTTAATGCTGCGCTCGGCCCCACAACATCGTTTTTGTGTTGTGGGGCCGAGCGCCGCGTTGTGATAAAAATAAAGGAAGTGGGGTGGGTTTAACATTGGAAAAAATGGATTCGGACCCAGCAATGTAATTAAATATACTTTTATTCGCTAATTATAATTATTCAGATTGATGAACTCATTAATTGATTTATTAAGGAGGGAGTTCCAATACCTTTGGATGGGCATCAGCAAGAGATAGAGAGTTTACTGTCCGATGGTAATAAAACAAGTATTCTGAGCTGAAAACTTTAGAATGGTGGATATCGAGATCAATGCTTGATCTTCTCTTTTTCTTAATCTCCAGATTAAATATTGCTTGTTCTCTCGTTATAAATCTCCAGATTAATTAACCGATCGGGATTAAGGATATCATTTTTATCATTATTATCATTATTATCATTATTATCATTATTATGAAATAAAGAAGGTCTATGGAATTGGGATTAGAAAATCGGAGTTTGGAGCAAAGACACAATTTATTTTCAGTCGGGAAGCAGGACCGGTGAATGGTGATGAATCTGCCGAAGAAGTTGAATTAAGTGAAGAAGAGAACCATGAAGGAAGCACGTGGATATCTAGTTCTAGCACCCTGCCCTCCTTTAGTCCAGGGTTCCCAGTATCCTTCACCTTTAGACGGAGGGGACATGGAACTCCCTCCAATACCTTCACCAAGTTTAAGAACAGGTAAGGGGTATATATTTTCAAGAATCAACGCTGCGCCCCGGGGGAATGAATTTTGAGATGGAAAATTGGACATTTCCTACTTTTTGATACCTTTAAACTAAATAATAATCTATTTTTCTCATAAAACCATGATTTTTTTATCCAAGGAATAGGACTTTAATTTTCTTTGAATAGGTTTCAGTCTAAAAATCCTGGTAAGGAGAAGAGTAGGAGTTACAGTAAAAAGGAGCAGACATCTCAGCAGAGCAAGGAGTCTGCTTGGTGTCTAGACTTCAGTGAGGGTCTTATTGCAGTTGGTTGTAGTACTGGCAAAATAGAGGTAGTCGTTACAAATATAAATTTTATAATGGATTCATTCGAAAGGAATCGAATCTTTGTCACAAATTCTGATTTTCTAATCCTTATATCTTTGAAACCCAAGACCTTAGATATTTCGAACTTTGAATTCTGTTAAATTGAATAATCGTAAGTTTGAAATATTAAACATTTACACCATCGGGTCTCAAAGATATAGGGATTAAAAAATTTGAGTTTGTGACTAAGAATCAATTCATCGGTTGTTGTTTTCCAATTTAATACTTCTAAGATTTTGCTTTTTGGAGGCTCCATATTTTCATATTTAAAAATTGGTTCCCATAGAAGTTTCTTTTTCTTGTAATATTCAAAACGAACCGGTCAAACCATTCGTTCTCTTGAAGAAAGATTAAATTTGAAAGGTTCATTGTGTTATTAAAAGAATTATTTAGAAAATATATTTTTGTATTATATGAAAATCATCCTAAAACATTGTCCGAAACTGAACCAGTGAACAATATGGAAGAGGCAATGTTTCCAAAACAGGAAAATATCATGATAAAATTGAATATTATTTATTTATGTTTAGCAATAGCATGAAAAAGTGTCATATTTATTTCAAAATTATAAATTATTATGTCAACTGGTCAAAAAATTGCAGTCAAAACTTTTTTTAAACTTTTAGCATTTCATATTTTTCTATTGCTGTATTGTTCCAGGTTTGGAACGCTAGTACTGGGGAACTACTGTGTTCCTATCAAGATGGAAGAAAGGTTCCGGTTAATGTTCAAAACAAGTGTTTGTGACAGACTCAGTAACTATTCTTTTTTCCAAAATTTAAGGTTCTAGAAGTGTAAATTCCCTCTAGTTAATTTATAGTTTTTTTTTCTACATTCAGATTTTTTAACTTTTGATAATTGATCTGTATCTGTGTATTGTATAGCTTTTTGCCTCCAATAAAACCTAGATTAGATGAAAATTGATCTGTATCTGTGTATAGCTTGTTGCCTCCAATAACCCTCTCCATGGTGGTCTCTCCCGAAGCAGTTATTCAACTCAGGTTTGCAATATGGNCTTACTAACTTACTTACTCATCTACAAATATGTGGCAATATCTTGTATTCAATATTTCAGACTATTAAACGGACGCCTGGTGGCCATTAGGCTAGACGGTCACATTGACTTTCTAGATATAGTTTCAGTAGGGTTCTCTTCAGGTATTTATTATTCCTCTGTTTTGTTAACCTGAATCAGAGAAAGAGTTTAGAGTTAAAAATCGAGCAAGAAAAGAAAAATTTAAAATTATGAAAAGGATGGAGAGAGAGAAATGGTTAGGATTTAGGAACGGGAAAACAAAGACGATGTTTTTTGTTTAGGTTTTATAAATGCTCGGACTAGAACCTTCTCCAGTAACAGTTTAGATATGGAGAGTATCTCTAGTATTGGTGACAGTGTAACTATATCCTGGAGACATACTGTGAAGGTTTTTATCTTAAATATTTATCATTTTGTTCCTTTAAGAGACATTTCGATGTGATTTATACATTTTAGCAAAATTTCAATAAATTAACTAAGAATTTCAAAGTGTTTTATCTCTTCAATGCTAACTTATGAGGCGTGAAAATAGATCAATAAACGGTAAAAAGTAAAACAAAAATACTCTTTTTACTTCTTTATAAAGCAAGAATTCATTTAGAAATAAATTTCCGCAATATTTTAATGTTCGTGGGAGTTATTTTTTTGGGGGGAGGGGATCTTGGACAACTGGCAAGTTGTCTCCTTTTTGATAATTTTGTACAAAAATTCATCCCCCCCCCCTCCTCCTCTCCTGAGGGTCGTCTTCCACCAATTTAACAATTCCTAACATTCTGGAGGGAGCCCGGGTAGGGGGGGACTGGGGAGGGTTTATATTTTTCAACAAATTATATACCCCTGTAACTATAATATTATACTAGGCTCATCTGCAATCTATTACCTGTGTAGCTGTCCAAGGCTCTAGGCTTATAACGGGTAAATAACAATATGTAATTTTAAACTTTTTACGTCCGTCTCTCTTTCTCTTGAATGAGAAATATCTACAAGGATTTTGTAATTAAAATTTTTCATAAAAAATTATGTCTAAAAGTGTCCAGAGCTGAAAACTTTAGAATCGTGGATATTGAGATTAATGCTTGATCTCCTCTTTTTTTAATATCGAGACTAACCTAATCTTGTACTTGTATCCTGAAAAATGTATAAAATTCAACCAATAAGAGTCGCATATATAAAGCCGAGAAATTTGAAATTTTGCGCGCCATTTAAGATTTTAATACAGAAACGGGAGAAAATAATCTTGGGTTTATTAAAACCATGGGAGCATTAATCTTGATATCCGCCATTTAAAGTTTTCAGCTCAGGGCACACTTTTAGAAGTAAACCTGTAAAAGTGATAAATTCCTGAGCTAAACTTTATTGTTTTTGGTTGCAAATGTAGGAAGGGTTAGAATGAATGTATAAATCCGCAAAGGGTATTTTGTATTATTTTTTTATTTTGTATCTAATGGTCATGGATTGTCTGCGCAATGTGCAACACATCTTGGCTGTTTGTCAAAGTTGTCACAAAGACGACCTGTTTTTCTGCGTTCCTCACATCGGGCTTAGACAGTTTATATCAAATACTTCAGTAACATTGAATCAAAATTAAAATAATGACAAATGAATAATAAGTTCACAGTCGCTTTTTTCGGAAATCGAAACCAACTTAAAAATTAATAAACTTGATAACTAAATGATTTGTTTTTATTATTTTAAATTTTCATTATTTCTTAAAAATGTGCCGTGGCTCGTTGACCCCCTTCCGCCCCCTCCTCCGAAAAGAGCAACCTCTCTTGACTATCTATCGAGCTTAACTTTACCTATAAATTATATGGAGAGACAGGGGGGTCTAGAAGAACTTCGAGAGGATAGGGCCTAATTTAGGATCGAAAAATCTGTTGTGCATGATAATATGATTCCTGCTGCTTCCAGGTTCTGAGGACCACACCCTCCGAGTATTCCGTGTCGAGGACGGAGTTGGTGTTTATACACTTCATGGACATTGTGGACCAATCACAGCTGTATTTATTGATCGATTCAACCATTCAGGGATATACACACAACCAACTATTTATTATCTCAGGGGCTTTTTTTTAAGAATTTCGAAAAGGAACTTGACGAATATTGTAACTTATTTTTGGATACTTTTTCTCTAAAATCATTTATATTTCGCCAATAGTTAAATGTTTTCTGGTTTATCAGTTGAGTGTAAGTTTAAATTAAAAAAATTTACGATTTTGGCAAAAACAAACCTTTTAAAATATCACGAATACTTTCTCTAACCTTTCTTGGGGCGTGATACTTTGAAAACATTTGTAATCTAAATATGTTATCAAATTTTTATTAGTTTATTGATTGATTGGTTAACTGACTGAATGATTGATTGTGGTGTGTCCGTGTAGCTGCTGGGTCAGCCTCCCAGGACGGTATACTGTGTATGTGGGATCTCCTAACAGGAGCTTGTGTTTACAGCATACAGGTACAGGGTTACCGACAAAGGATGAGACCGAAAAGACAACCCATAACACTTAGAATATGATGATCTACATACGCTCATTTACCTTAAGAATTCAAAATTTTGGGTATTATTTATGTTTTTAAAACTTAACATTCCCTCTAACTACAGCTTCAGAGACTGAGACAGATTTTAAATACCAGAATTGTAGACTGACAAGTCAATTGTCCAGACCCTATTATTTTCATTTTCAGGCGCATGATGGAGCCGTGTTAAGTCTAGAATATTCTCCCAGCTACGTTGTCTCCTATGGACAGGAAACCAAACCAAATAATTTACAATATTTCAATTTCCTTTTACACACATAGGTACTATAAGGTACTTTTTTGAAGCATGTTTCTTTGGGAAGCTTCCAAATCTATTGATTTTCGAAAGCTAATTGTCCAAATGTACGGAATAATGATTGACTGGCTATTATTATTATTATTATATGCTGAAATTCGAGGATTGCTACAGTTTATTGGATTTGGTAGGGTTTGAACATTTTTCTGTGGCCCTTCGCTGCAGCGAGAACATTTGGGAAGTACATTGTACAAATTTCGGCATTTGGTGAACTTACTTTTGGAAAAGGACTTAACATCTTTTTTTTACTTTGCTTAGTAAGCTCGTGCTTAAAGAAAGTTTGAAGTAACATAATGCAGTAAACTAAAGTACTTATAAATTTTTGCATGCAGTATAAATGTTGATGATTTATTGATTGATTTGGTTTGGTTTGGAAAGGACGGCAAGCTCTGTGTTTGGGAACGTTTCCATGGTCATCTTATTAATACAATAAACATGGTAATATATTCATAAATATAGATTACCAATACAATAAACATGGTAATTTATTCATAAATATAGATTATTAGTACAATGCATGGTAATATTTCATAAATATAGATTATTAATACATTAAACATGGTAATTTATTCATAAATATAGATTACTAGAAATTCAAGGCGCTTCGCGCCCTTCTTTCTAGCCTTAGAGGGCGCTTCGCGCCCATCTTCTAAATTAATTGTAAACATGTTCTCTTTGTGTACATCGTAAAACNGAAGTATAGGATTGTAAGGATCTCTGATTTATATGGCCGATTTAACTTCCTCGCAGGATGATTTATTTCTCACTAAGGAAGTTCCCATACAGTACACGTTATACTTCATGAAGTACGTAGCATAATTAATTCCTATTGAAGGAAGGAAGTTCAGTCCCTTGGTCACAAGGCAGTAGTTCATTTGAGAGTGCGCTCACATTGTACTGAATGTTAACTTTCTTTTAGAAAAAGAAATCTTACTGCGAGGATTATTATTATTACGAAGAAGTTTACTGTTGAATGGCGGAAATACAGTGAAATATATCAAGTTGTCCAGCTCCTAATCCGTCCCTTTTCAGACATTGCTTGGTGAGCATAGTTCCGATGACCTGGTGATGTTGACCCATAATCTAATCGTTACAGGTCGCACAGGTTCACTCCTCGTGTGGGACGTAAGGTACGGACAATGCACGGATATTGTATAGTGGGACCCAGAAAACTGTAGGATAGGAAGAAGATGGTTCGACTGAAGTTATGATTTATAAGTAGTCCAATGAATAGTGAACAAACAGCAATTGTGGAGCATATACTGGCCCAATTTTATTTTAGAAGACTATTTTCAAGCTACAAGTGAAGTTTTTCTTTAACAAAATATCAAATACACAGCTGTCTTAAATGTCGTCTTCCCATTCCATAGTTTTTTATTACCCACTGTATGTACATTTAATACAAACGTGCTGCTAAATAAGTATTTGTATTCACATATTATTATCTGGTATTTTCTTATGTAGAAATGTTTAAAAGTCATTTTTTTAAACAAAAATTGTGTCTAAAATAATTTTCGAAAATATCATTTACAAGGAAGGCAAATTTATGATCAAGACAAACATATAGATAGCACGTCTGTCTCTCTGTTGAGCTGAATAAAAATAATATGTTTGGCAAGTTAAGTATCCGTGACTAAACTTATGTCATTAAAAACTCCAATTGTTAGCTATAGCTGGCCAAACGGTTGGACCAAATTGGCTGAAATCTTTTTAGGAAAACCATGGGTGGTAAAAAAGGCTAAAAAAATTTAATTTAAAAATATCTTTTTAGTTAAATTTTCTTTTATTCCACGGGCAACGCCTTGCTCTGTGGAATAAAGGTCTTTTGGACTGTGGAATAAAGGTCTTTTGCCAAAATAATTACTATCTAAAAAGCAAGATTTTGGCTTCCTGGATCCTGATCCGATTTCAAAGGGCAAAACATCAACCAAAAACATTAAAAAAAACTTTTTGATTAATTATTAATTAACAATTTAAGAAAGGGACTGTGATCGTAATTTGAAGTGACCCTCTATGCAAAGATGGCTATGCCCTAATTACAATTCGGTAACCTTGCAACCTTTCTCTGATCAATAATGTGGAAGAAATTGCCGTTTTTCTAGGTTTTTAAGTGTTCGATTCTGATAATTCTTATATTTTTTCCTGCAGTAGAAATTCGCAAGTCACTTTTGTGAGAAAGGGTACCATTGTGAACTAAACATTGCCATTTATTCATGAAGGTTCACTTGAAATTACGCTTTCAGTCCTTATAAAAATTTTTTTTTTTCAGACTAATCAGACAGATTGGTGACACAATAGTTTGCAGCACAGGGAACAGTCTCAGATTGATCAGATTTCCTATGCTAGTAGATAAACAAGATTAACCCGGATTATACTAGTAGATAAACAAGATTAAACTTGATTATGCTAGTAGATAAACAAGATTAAACTTGATTATGCTAGTAGATAAACAAGATTAAACTGGATTATGCTAGTAGATAAACAAGATTAAACTTGATTATGCTAGTATATAAACGAGATTAAACCGGATTATGCTAGTAGATAAACAAGATTAAACTGGATTATGCTAGTAGATAAACAAGATTAAACTTGATTATGCTAGTAGATAAACTAGATTAAACCGGATTAGGCTAGTAGATAAACAAGATTAAACCAGATTATGCTAGTAGATAAACAAGATTAAACTGGATTATGCTAGTAGATAAACAAGATTAAACAGGATTATGCTAGTAGATAAACAAGATTTAACTGGATTATGCTAGTAGATAAACAAGATTAAACTGGATTATACTAGTAGATAAACAAGATTAAACTTGATTATGCTAGTAGATAAACAAGTTAAACCGGATTATACTAGTAGATAAACAAGATTAAACTTGATTATACTAGTAGATAAACAAGATTAAACTGGATTATACTAGTAGATAAACAAGATTACTAGATGATGCTACATCTTGATAACCAGAAAACTCTTAAATAAGAAGACGACTTATAGAATCTAGTTAAAACTTTACAAAGTCCAATGAGCAGCCTGAGACACAGCAATTGTGCAGTGTAAACAGACCCATGTCACTGAATTAGTGATTTAATAATGTCTAGTAAAACCATTTGCTTTGAAACAATATCATATGCACTTAAATATTGCTATTATGTCGTCTTCCTATTCCATTGTTTTCTGGTTATCACTGTAGTAGATAAACAAGTTTAAACTGGTTTATGCAGATTAACAAGATTAAAATCAAAATAAATACTTATATTGTTTAGAATAAGACAATCTTTTTCTGACAAAAAAAGCTACAACAGCAATCCAGTCAAAAATAAGAATTGTAAAGGACTATTTTATGCCATAAGTTTGTTCATAGAAACAAAACAAAAATATCAGAAAGAAGAACAAAAAAATTGCATGAAGTAGAACAACCTAAAACCAAAACGATATTTCAAGATTTTCAGCTGTTAATTTTTATTTTTGTTATTTGTTATAATTTCTGTTACGTTTCTTTTATTTAGTTAGTGTTATTTTTTATTTGTTTGTTATGATATTAATAGAAAAAAAAAGATATACTCTCTTTAAGAAAAATGTTCAAAAAAGATTGTTACCAGTGAATTAATTATATTACTGACCAATTCTAATCAAATATACCTATCATCCCATGAATGTAATGTCTACCTATTTTTAAATACTAAGAATTACCCCATTTTTTTTCTTAAATCAAAACTTTGAGTCTTTTTTACAACTCTAAGATGTTTCATTAGTGTCTCATACTAACCACTGTGCTGTTGCAAGAAAGGCTAGTTTTCATCTTAAGAAACTGAACAATTCACACAAGTTCTATATTTCTAATCCCTATATCTATGCAACCTGATGTCGTTGACCTTTAATATTTTAAACTATGATATCTGTCTTAGTTTAGAATATCAAATGTGTGCACTGTACTCGGTATACCATCAGGTTGCAAAGAAGGAAGAAGATAATAAAACTTTGTGGCAAATGTTCCTTTCGTAGCCCTTGCAAAAATTCTAAAATAAGATTAAATATTTATTTAATTTAAAAAATTGATTTGATCTAACTTACTATTTGCACATTTTTAGTTTTTCTTGATTAAAAATCAGGTTATTTAAAATTTTGCACAAATTTTTGCATATTTGAAATGGCATGGTCAAGGGCTTTTAAAAAATGTATAATTTTTCATTTTTTGGACAAATTTTTTTTGCAAACATTTTTTCTATATAACTGGATTTTGCGATAAAAAATTCAAGTTTTGCAAGTTTTCAAATTTTTTGCAGATTCTAAAAGTAGAGCACAAGAGCTTTCCAATGATGTATCATTTTTCATATTTGGACATCAAACATGGGATTTACAGGGGGGGGGCAAATTGACCCCCCCCAGCATATCCTGGTTTTCAAGTACCCCAGCAGAGATAGGGTTAAATATTGACTTGTTTATATAAGTATGTAGATTGTAGAAATGGTCTAATTGTGAATTCCCTGCATATTTGATATTTTATGTAAATTGGACCAAATTGTTAAAAATAAACATAGATCAACAAAGATTTTTACATACATTTTTAATGAAAATTGCGTACAAGATTTTTTTTGGAGAGTGTAGGAAGAAAGCATCATCATCGGAGTGCTACCAGAGACCCCAAATAAAAATTTAACATTTTTGAAAATGTAAATTGCTTTTTATGGCATAAAAACCTATATAAATTTATTTTATCATGAACTATACTAGTTTAAGCAGGAGAACAAGAATCGACAATTTTAAAAAATCAGATTTCGTGCATTAGATGCATAAAACTAAATCTAAATGGAAAAGTTTATGATATAAATTTTTAACATTTTATACAATCAAGAGAATTTTACATTTTCAAAAATTATAACTATTTTATTTGGAGACTCCGATAAAAACTTTGGGGTCTCCGTTGAAAATGCCGGGGTCTACGGTAAGGTGGCGGTAGGGGTTTCCGGTAGCACTCCGGTGATGATGCTAATTCTTCCTGGACTCTCTTTTGGATCGTTTTTCAATATTTTTTCGTTCTGATTATAATATTGCACAGTTATATTTACAGGTTGACCCACAAAGTACATACAGAAACCAGAATTTAAACTTTAGATCGTTATCTGGAACGAGTTTAAGGTCGTCATTAAAGGCTCATAATTTGTGGGTAACCCTGTATGTTACAACTGGCAATTAGAGACAATATTGTGGAGTGTAGACCATTGAGCTTAACTAACATGTGTTTCAAATCAAAATATGGAAATATTATCAATCTTCAAATTACGTTTCTTTTTTACCGAAACTTTGAGGATTTTTGTTTAAATTGAAAAATTACGCTTTTCTCAAATATTTTCCTAAAATAACTACGCAGTGTATCTGATATATACTACGCCAAAGAAAGAAAGTAAATGCGTACAAAAAGAATTTTAAAAGAAAGAAAAATGTACTTTGTTCCTTGTAATCTAAATATAGATAGATTATGTAGGACAAGGAATATAAAATGTACTCTGTTCCTTGTAATCTAAATATAGATAGATTATGTATGGGGGGACTTCCTCGAAAGAAAATAAGTCACTCATCTATGGAGTTTAAATATTAAAAATTTTGTTTTCTTTATTTTGCGAGGAATATTCCCACAACCTCTACCTCATAACGAACGGATTAAAAAAAGTTCGAATATGCCCAGCTCTTGATAAGAAAGCTCAGGAAAATTCTAAGTTTTATAAAATTAATTTTAGAAAACTCAGCCAATGATTGTCTACTATTTAAATTTGTGTTTAATATCGCCTTTAGTTCTAATTATTAAACAAAACAAATTTGATAATATTCACCCAAATTAGTAATAAGATATAAAGGTTGAAACATACTGATCCATACAATAAACAAGACATTCGTAAATATATTCTCTATAGCCGGCAAAACGGCTGGACCGAGTGGGCTGACATTTTTTCATGAAACCTATGAATGCCTCGGGGGTAAAAAATGCTAAAAGAAAAAAATTTTAATTCCACGGGCAAAGCGCCCACTTTATCAAAGAAAAAATTCTTGGGTAAAACAAGACTAAGAAAAAACATAGTTTTCCTCAGATATCTCAATAATTTTACGATTTTTGGCATAGTGCGGGCCATATGGAATTGGAAGGCTCTAAATTGGACAAAGATCAATTTTTATTTTGTGACTAATGAGTAAAAACGCATTTTTTAATTGCACCAATCAATTAAAGATTTTTAAAGGCGAATAATTGGATTTTTTTGAAGAAAAAACATTGGAAATAAGATAACTTATAAAGATGTTAAGATGTAATAGACCAGCTCAAATGAAACCTTTATGTATCTATAGCAAAAAAAGATTTTATTTTACATTTACCAATAATCTTTAATGTATAAGCTAAAATAAAAATTTTCAGTTTTGCTGATCAAATCTATATGATCGCCACAGGCTACTTGGACTGAAATTTGCGATTTTTTCCCTGCAAATATCTAAACAAAGTAAAAAAGGGGTAGCAGAGCCCTTTTTTCAATTTTCTGTTTCGAAGTACTCTTTTTAGAGTTCTTTTCATAAATGTCGGATAAATTTTCACAATTTTTTTTTCAAAACCCTGGGAACAACTAATCCTAAGAGCACTCGAGCAGCCACCCCTCCCTCCTGTATGTAAACTGTAAAGTTGCTTTTCTGTGTTGCGTATATTGCCTGTGTGTTTAGTGTGCGTGTGTGTTTAATAGTGACGTAAGTTGACCCAGTCACGAGGTTTAGTATCTATCCAACATTTTCCAAATATTTATATATGTATATTCTTTACAAATATTTTTTTAGATAGATATTTGCAATCATCCAGAACAAAAAGTTTTATCAAAAATTAAACTTAAAAAGTTTTATAGAAGTTTTTAAAAATAAGCAAAAAAATCATTTCTGACACCCCTAGGCTTTGTACGCCTATATAATTCACCAAAACCATACTGCAGTCCTTCAATTATCATACAGGGAAATTTTCATCTTTCTAACCATCCCAACGAATGGTTTGACAGGTTCTTTATATTATTACATTCTAGAAATTCAAAACAGTTTTGATGTTCCCAACAGCTCTTTTATAAGATGAGTTATTATTGAAAACGTAAGATGATATCAATCTGACGTGATTCACCTATGTGCACGTCCTCAATGTACGTCTTCCATGTCCTTCATATGGGTGTCCTTACTGCGCGTCCTTAATGTACGTCCTACTCCTAAGATTGTGTCCTCATTACCATTACAACTTTAAACCTTCAGTATTGTGAATCTTGGAATAGGGAGTTTTCTAGACAAATAGATAAATGATATTGAAACTACATATATAAAGTCGTAATATCTGTTTGTTTGTTTGTTTGTTTGTCCGATCCTAAGTCATGAACCCTTTGACCGATTTGACCGAGATTTGACCGATTTGCCTAAAAAGTTAAATTGTGGAAATCTGGAAAATCGCGAGAATGTTCTTAGATTGGTTTTGAGAGTCTAAATTGAGTGGATCGACTTTAATAGCAAAAATTTAGTTTACCGGTTAAATCGACCAAGTGCGGGTAAACGGCAGTAGTGACTATGAGTAACTGTGGCAACGCTGGGTTGCCAAGCAGCTAGTGTTATTATGTTTTAGATTTTAAGAAATATAATGAGATTTCATTACCACCGTAAATATAATGAGATTTCAATACCACCGTAAATATAATGAGATTTCAATACCACCGTAAATATAATGAGATTTCATTACCACCGTAAATATAATGAGATTTCAATTAAATATAATGAGATTTCAATACCACCGTAAATATAATGAGATTTCAATACCACTGTAAAAGTACACAATAAACTCTTAACTATAAATGGTCTTTTCTAGGCTTTTCCCCCTTATCAATCTGCTGTCTTATTTATGGAGGGAGATTGTTTTGCGGGGCTTGGTTTCAGGTCATTCTGCTTATCAGGAGGCTCCGGAGGTCCTTTCGCAGGGCTCATTTCGGCTCTGCACCCGCTCATTCATTTATATGAACATTCATTTATATCTTTTTTTATACTCTTATTTAATTATAGCGTATGATATCTACACTCTACAGTGTTCCTGAAAATTTGCATAATTTAGTCTTTGTAGCATTTTGTAAAAAAGAATGAGCGTCCCTAAATTAGATTTAACCTTTTCGGAAACATTTCATCAAAAAAATTGACAGCGCAAAAGACCGGCCGGGCCTGAAAGCAGGCCGCGCCGGAATATTCGCTGTAGAGAAGGCGGAAGAGAATCAAAGCGTAAATTTTCCCCAGCTTTCCCCTCCCTCCTTTCCGGCCCAGGCCCAGAGCAGGTATTTAAGAAGAGGCCTGCCGGGTTGACCGACAGTTAACTACAAAATTTCAAGACAAACGCAACCTTTAGAAAAACAGAACCAACCCTGTGATAGAAGTAAAAGTGTTAAGATTTCAAAATTAGACATTCAGAAATTATTTAGGTGAATTTATAAAAAAAAATCTTCAAATTATACATTCAAAATTGATTAAATTGTATTTATAGTTGAGAAGTGTTGAACGCCTGTAAACCTATGGTAGTCAGTAGATGAATTTTACTGCCTTCATTGAATTTCTTAACAGGTATCCCCCCCTTTCCCTTCCCGTTAAATTTCTCCAACCCTCGATGAATCCCCTTCTTACATGTTTACTTTTAAATTTCCCCATCATTCTATAGATCATTCCCTCCCCCTCTCTCTCCTCTCTTACATTTATCGGAGAAATTAAATAGAATAGAAGGGTGGAACAGAAAAAGGTGTACAAGGGTGTAAACAGGGGGAGGGAGACAAGGGACAATGCCTCACCCTAGATATTTTAAGGGGGAGGCAAGGGGGGGAAAATAGAAATCACTTTTCCACTCTTTAAACTAAAGAACAAACAATAATGTATTTCTAGCCTTTACACTGTACTATTTGTAGCCTGTACACGGTACTATCCATAGCCTCTACACTGTACTATCCATAGCCTTACACTGTACTGTACAATGTGTGGCCTACATACACTGTATTATTTGTAAACTTTATTGTACTATTTGTAGCCTGTACAATGCACTATTTGTAAAATTTATTGTACTATTTTTAGCCTGTACACTGTATTATTTGTAGCCTTCACACTGCACTATTTGTAGCCTTCACACTGCACTATTTGAAGCTTGTAAACTGTACTGTACTATTTGTAGCCTGTAAACTGTACTGTACTATTTGTAGCCTGTTCACTGTAATGTACTATTTGTAGCCTGTACATAGAGGAGGTTGAAAGGGCAAGCCGGGTAAACAACCAGGAAAGAATCGCCAGGTAGGAATTTATTCATTTATCTATTTATTTATTACTATCTATCTATATATCTATCTATCTATCTATCTATCTATCTATCTATCTATCTATCTATATCTATATATCTATCTATCTATCAATATCTATCTATCTATATATCTATCTATCTATATATCTATCAAGGATGGTTTTTACCGGAGATTTCAACGATGATGTGGAGAACTTTGGCCAGGAGTCCAACAGACGACAGGCAATGAGGTAGAAACTAGAAAACATTTTTTTAACAATTTTAAGAATTCTTTTTTTAAAATTTTTTTCGAAAACTCTTGAAGTAAGTTTTTGGTTTGACACTTGTTTTTTAAAGGTGTAATCTTTAAAGAAAAGTCTCTAATACAAACAAATATACAATTTTGTTTTTGGAAGTAAAAGAACACTTTGGCATGGCTTATTTATCTATTCATTAATTATTTATGTATTCTTAATTAATTTATTGATAATATTTATAATGTTTAGAACTGCTAGATGTGTTAAGATACTGGGTAAAGGGGTGGTTAAAGTGGTTCATAGATGTGATCAAGCTAAAGAGAACAATACTCTAGGTAGTTAAACACACGGACACTGTACATACGCAAGGATACTGTCCATACACATGGATACTGTCCATAAACACGGACACTGTCCATAAACACAGACACTGTCCATACACACGGATACTGTCCATACACATGGACACTGTCCTCCATAAACACGGACACTGTCCATATACATGGATACTTTCCATACACACGGACATTGTTCATACACACGGACACTGTACATACACAAGGACACTGTCCAAACATACGGAGACTGTTCAGACACAAGGATACTGTCCATACACAAGGATACTGTACATACCCAAGGACACTGTACATACACAAGGATACTGTACATACCCAAGGACACTGTACATACCTAAGGATACTGTACATACCCAAGGATACTGTACATACCCAAGGATACTGTACATACCCAAGGATACTGTACATACCCAAGGACACTGTTTAGACACACAGACCCTGCCATACACACAGAGACTGTCCATACACATGGACACTGTACATGCACACGGACACTGTCCATACACACGGAGACTGTTAAGAAACACGGAGACTGTCCATACACACAGACATGGTAAGGACACAAGACGCTGTCTAAAGAATAGTTTTCAAAAACTGTCCTTAAAATCAAATACCCCCCCACCGCCCCTTGGTACCAATGGATAAATCCAAGTAAAAGTACGAAAGATTAAGAAAAAAGAAAAGGATACCGGAACTACATGGGTGAAAGTTGGTTCCTCTTTCTATCTATCTATGCCTATCTATCTATCTGTCGATCTAACTATCTATCTATCTACTGCTTGAAACTGCCTGAAATTGCATAACAGCCTGAGACACGGTTACGGGTTCAATTCCCAAATTTAAAATCTTTCTGTTTTTAAACTACATTTTTGGTCTTGGTCTTTATTTTCCTTTTTTTCTTAAACATCTTATGTTGTATTCAATTTTTTTGCCTACCTTTTTATTTGGGAATTTTTTCGCAGCATCCTGTTACATTAGCTTTTCTTAACATTTTATTGAATAAATCTACATATTCCTTTCCTTATTTACATTCTCCTGTTTTATAATTCTTGATTTTAAAATATATTCTCGTGCCCACACTTTCTCCATCTTAGTTAAATATAGAATCAATGCTTTCTCAAATTTTCTAGTTTTAAGTCCGACTCTTGCTCCCCGCACTTGTTATCTTTAGTTTCCTGAAGTGCAACAAATTATTCGATTCTAATCATTCATTTATTCAACAATATTTGCTGGACATAGTGTGACTATTTATATAGTTGGTCTGAAGAAAAGTAAAAGTAGAAACCGCTGGTCTCTAGCGCCGTCTGGTGTGTGACACCTCAAGCGCCGGCGCTTAGAAAATGGCCCGCCAGTGTGCCAGAGTGGTTCAGGGGACTAACGCCGCCAAGGAGAATGGAGGGGGGCTAGGTAAAAACTGAAACGTACAATCTTTAAAGTGAAAAGTTGCTAAACTAGTGACATTAAAATTAATGTGGGTCAGATAAATGTTCCAGAATTATTAATTTAAGATATTGAAACATGCAGTGTGCAGTGCAGGGCTCGGTGCGCGGTTGGGAAAGTTTAGTGAAAGTTTGGTCAAAATAAATCAGATGAAGGACGGGGGGGGGGGGGTGTATTTAGCATTTTAAAACATTGAAATAAATACTGATGGAGATATCTTAGGTTTTCAATTTTAAAATGTGTAAAAGGCTGGTACTAGCAGTATGGTTAAGAAATTGATGATATTTGTTTCACTTCAAAGAGAAAAACAAAAATATATCTTTTATCATCAAGCGCACGTTGTGAATAGATTATGGTATTCTTGAATGTAAGGGTCATTAAACATTTCACGCACCTCTGACCCTTTAGTAAAAGTAAATTCAACCTAAAGTCTGACCGCGTCAACCTTGTTGCACCGGCTAGTCCTATTGAGTGTCTGCTTTATTCATTCAATGTTCTGGCGGTGCAGTATAAACTGGGACCGGAAAGGTTGACCCGGCTCGGAAATTCAAATGTACTACGGCTGCCCGTGATTTGTTGAAGAATGATGACGCCATGATTCTCTAATTTCGGCTGAATCTAGATTTCACTAAAATTAACAAGGAAAATATTATTAGGTTGTAAACCTTGTTTTAATGCAATACATACATGCTAGTATATATAAACAGGGGCACCATTGTATTCATTTATTGAATAATTTTATAATGTTTTTTTTTTCAAATATATCTGACACTCTGACTCTCATGTTTTGGTTCGAAGTAAAGGCAAAACTTTTAAATTATGTCGTCTTTATGATACATATTGTTAATTCTGAAAAGTCGTCTTTTTTGTCCTATTTGTTATGTATTGCCCTGTTGAGAAGAGAAGGGGGGAGAATTGGGTCAATTGATAAGAAAATAGAACTTCAGTATACACTATACACTAAACCCTACTATACAGTACTGTGGAGTCATTTATACACAACAAACACAGTTTAGATTCAGTGGAGGAGAAGGGAGGGAGGAAGTTACCATGATCTTGTATTATATAAATATCCAAACAGGGTTAGTGAAATCTACAAGACTATAAATGCAATAGATAGAGTATCTTGTAGTTGTGTATCAGTTTTCTAGTCTTTTTTTATGAGTGTCTATTATCTAAACATATTTCTATCTATCTTTCTATCCGACTGTGTATCTATCTTATTATCATATCCTTTCAATTATCTAACTACGTATATATATATATTTCTATTATCTAACTATGTATATATCTATCCGTCTAAAGCTATCTATACTTCTTTCTGTCTGTATCTTATTATCCAACTACCTATCTATCTATCGATCGATCTATCTTTATATCTTTATATCTATCTATCTATCTATCTATATGTTTATATCTATCTATATTTAACTATCTATTTATCTTTCCAGATCCATCTATTTATTTATCTATCTATCTATTTATATCTATTTAGATCTATCTGATTGTCAGCTGATGCAGATGCCTGATGCTGTCTACCACCTGATGAGGAACACCCCCCTGGTTACCTGCAACCTCAGCAGCAATGTTATCGCTAAGATCCCGCCAAAGTTCCCGCTCTCCTTCTCATTAATCACAGGTAGACTTTCTTCTTCTTTTATTCCTCTTCTGCTTCTATTACCCTTCTCCTTCTCTTCCTTTTTCCGTTCCTTCTCTTCCCTTTCCCTTACCTTCTCTTACCCTTCTCCTTTCCCTTCCCTTTTCTTCTCTTATCCTTCTCCTTTCCCTTCCCTTTTCCAGCATTTGTATTTTTTACAAGATTTTAAATGACTTGGTTTGTCACTTAATAAATTGATTTTCAAATGTTGCTTCAAATACTCACATAATCAAATAAATTATAATCGCTTCCTTTTCTACAGTTCTAATCATGATCTGGGTCAATCTTGTAAACACTGTTTCTTTATATATGCCAAGTCACGATCTTATCTATTTTATAAAGTTTAACATTACACAATGTAACTGGACAAGGAGAACCAATCAAGACTAGGATTAAATTGATAGGACTGAGAATATGATTAATATTGAATTACATATTTCCTCTTCCAAGTTTACTACTTCCGCTCTCCCCATCTATAAATAGTCAAAATATGCTGAACTTTGAATC